AAATGGAATCGGAACACAAAAAGATGAGAAAAAAGCATTTGAGTGGTATTTGAAATCAGCAGAGGGTGGTAATGCTACGGGACAAGCTAATCTTGATTGGTGTTATCGAAATGGTATAGGAACACAAGACAAGGAGATGAGAAAATGTATTTGAATTATTTTTTATAATTATTAAAGATCACAATTATCGTTATCAGATTGGTCTGATTCTAAATACAGTATTGGGATAATTGAAAATTGTCAAAAGAATCCACCACTTATACTTAACATTAATAAACTCTTTAAACTTCATTTTGTATATCGATATTCATATTTTTAATATGTTATGTGATTATTTCCAAGTTTGATAAAATAATTATTTAGATCTCGTATGCGACATCTATAAAGGAGTACGAAATGATCCTAAATTATTCATGTTTATTATTGAAAAATGTTGTGATCCTATCCAGAAAACAGACTACTGCTGAGTAGCTCCAATCGGGGTCGGGTCCAATCCATGACCAGACTCGAAGTATTTCGGGTCGGCCTAAAACGTTATTTCTCGTTCAATATCAATTCAACTTAAACGAAAATTTGTGGATATATACACAATTATACCCCGAACAACTTATTTAAGACATAAAATACAAGTAACTTTGTAAAAATAAAAGATATTAACAAAATACGATTTTCGGATCAAACCCGACCCGACCCGACCCAAACAGAGCTTTATTGTTGAAGAGCTTGAAGACCTTATTTACTCTTTCTTTTATGTCAATAATAATGATGAGGAGTGGAAACCGAATGATTTGCATTTTCAATATTACAGCTCCTTAGAATATCATAAGACAAATGAAGAAATCACCGAGTGCCTCAAACCTAGAAAAGCATGAGCAAAAACAACAAATCCACTAAACGCAGTTTCCACCTATTTATTCCTCCATTGCTATCAACTCGGCCGACAAAACAAATCTGACACAAGAAAATGAAAAGATGAAAAATGTGAAAATACGGAAAACTGATGCACTAATAAAAATGACGGGAAGGCGATTTACATATAGTCTTGATTCCAGTCTTGACCCTAACCCAAGCTAGTATCCTAGCCACGGTAAAAAAAGTGGCAGATCATGTGATTCCAATCCTGATGCCGACCATCCGATAAAATTATAATGCATAATATTAAATAAATTTCGGTTAGGTTTAAGGTTAGGTTTAGGTTTAGAGTTAAGGTTATTCTATAATAAAAGGGAGTATAGTGTATATTAAAATTTCGCAAGGAACATTTTTAATTAAAGCACAAAAGATAGTTTCATATGCAAAATTTTAAGATATAAGCTATTTTTCAAAAATAAGCGTTGCACGTTGATCTTCCGATTTGATTGGTGCATAATTTAAGGGGGACATCGGATGGTCGGCATCAGGATCGGAATCACATGATCTGCCACTTTTTTTGCCGTGGCTAGGGTACTTTGAATTGCGTAATAATTTTAACATGCTATTTACCTTATTTACCTTCTAGTCTAAATTTATTTTCTCCATGATCCCACTTGTGATAATGTATCTATGCTTTATAAATTCTTCCAAAACAAGATATTCATTCAACATTGGTAAATCTTTCAAGAGATCCATTAATATATATATATATATAAAATAACGATACAACGATAGATATAAAGGAATATTTGATGCTGATCGCAAAAAAGATTACGTAACATCAAAATCTACTTAACGTTAATATTTGGATTTATGATTTTATTAACAAATATACCAATATTATCTAGCTAGTTTATATGCTTTCAATTATAATTCTTTAAAGTTTTCAGACGACTTGTTTCTTTGTTTTCGGACGGCTGACAAATTTTCTTTTGTAAGTATGGCTTCTTGATAACTTTGACCAATCTAGTCTCCAGTAGTTCATTATTCATGTTAGGATGGCGCTTAATATCATACTTATTAAACATGACATGTCTTCAAGTTGTTATTGGCGAACCAAATTATATATTATTAGATCCCATAAAAATTTTAGTTTAATTTTGACGTTCGCATCCCATATGCATTTTTTGGGGTACATATGAATTATTTTCAATAAAGAGGTGGTGACTTTATAGAGGTTGTTTCATTATGCTTTTTAAGTAATTGGTCAAAAAAATAGTGTGCTACAGTACAGGACACTTAAAGACGCCAATAAAATTAGTCATCTTTAAAGCAAAGGATCTTTATACAAAGATCATACAAAAAAGGGGCCGCTATTTGTAGCTAGACCTATTTACTACAAAATAGCGGCCTCCTTTTTTTGTATGATTTTTGCATAAATATCCTTTAAAGATGACTAACTTTATTGACGTCTTCACGTGTCCTGCACTGTAGCAACAAAATTTCGGTCACAATGACATATCTACATATAGAACTATATCCCCGTTGTCCACAAAATTCTGGTCGCGTACATAACGATAATGTATCAAAATGAACCGAAATGATAAATTGAGGTCATACATACAATTCCCACGAATTTTTATTAACTAACCGAAATGAGAAATTTCGGTCAAGTACAATTCCATTTACAAACAACGAATTCTAATTAATGGACATATGACTATTTACATACAATTCCCCACCACCTACAAACGAATTTATCTTAACGTAACGAAATGAGAGATAAACAACGTTTTCGGTCAAGTACAGAACTACATACCTTACTAAAATGATTAATGACTACGTATTCTACCAACTACGTAATCACAATACGTAGTCATGCCGGTCATACATACGGTCAAGTACATGCACATACAGAACTACAATTATTTCCCACCATCTACAAACAACAAATTACTGTTACGAACCTACCAATAACGATAATGAATCGAAATGATAAAACACAAACTACCAAAAATGAACGGGACTATCAGTCAACAAATTTCTAACACTAACCGAAAATGAAAAAAATTTCGGTCACAATGGACAATGTCCACGTCCGCCTTATATACGTAATCGGACATTGTCCTGTGTACATTACTGCACATGTGAAAATACGTAAGAAATTCGAACATCTAGATTGCCTCAGATGAACGGGGCCCGCACTTCTTATGCATGTGAAAATAAGAAAATTCGACATCTAGCTGCGTAAGCGGTCAAATGCATATACATGTACATGTACATGTATATGCATATTCGATTTTTCACATATATCAGTACGTATTCTCTTTTATGTTATGTTTAACGAAGGAAAGAAGGAAAAAATACCTTCTGATTAATGACCTCTTGAATATACATCTTCGTATGTGTATTTCTTGAACGTTTGATATAACAAATTCTCGTTGAAATTAACTCATTGACATTATTTGTATTGAAAGTATATATCTCATCAGACACGATCCCGCAATGTCTAATCGCAAAACCCCCGAGGCGCATTATAATTGGTTCTGTAACTCCATCGAAAGATTAGTTAACGGCAAAGATGACAAAGAAAAGGCCTCTATTCTTAACGAAATTCACAATGAGCTTGAAAACTTGAAAAATGTGTTAAAAATTCCAAAAAAACCAAAAGCGGTTGGAAATTTCCCAACTCCTCTTTATCCTAAAACCGAGTCTGAGATAGAAAAGATCGTCCAGGACGCATACAACAAGGGAGATACGATTATTAGAGTCATTGGATCTGGGCATTCTGTTAAAGATGCAATTTTGGATATTCCACCTGGGAAAAAAGTTAAACTTCTCTCATTGAAGGAATTTCATGGCGTTGTAAAAATTGACCAAGAGAATAAAACCGTCACCGTCAAAGCTGGGACTCATTTAAATCGTGACCCACGAGACAAAAGTTCCACGGTTGAGAACAGTTTGAATTATATTATCGACCAAGCTGGATATGCTCTTCCTGATCTTGGTGGTATTGCACATCAAACCGTTGGCGGATTTCTTTCAACGGGATCGTCTGGCGGATCATTGACATATGGTCTTGAGGATTCGATCATTGGCATTCGTATAGTCAACGGCAAAGGGAAGATAGAAGATTTGACCAGCTCGGATTCCAAATTCTTTGCTGCCGGAGTCTCAATGGGATTGCTTGGAATAATCACCCAGGTTACTTTTAAACTTATTCCAAAATATTATATTTATGGAAACCAAGTTTGCGCTGTGATCACTCCTTTGAACCCTGATTATCAAGAAGGCTGTCCGATCGATCTTATTGGTGATGGCACTCCAACTGTACCTAACCTACACAAATTTTTCACTCAAGGTACCGATTATGATGCAGAATACTCTCGTATACTCTGGTGGCCGCAGGAGGGGGTTAATCGGTTGGTTATTTGGAAGGCAAAAAGAACAAGCATTAATGATACTCAAGGATATACTAAACCAACTTCACCATACAAAGAATTTCCGGAGATTGGTGGTTCTACCACTAATACACAAATTATTGCCAGTATAGTTTTCATAGTTTTGAACATAATTAGTTATTGTGATGATGAATGGTACAAGAAGCTTGCAGCATATTTATTGAGTTTTTTCAACGGGGTTATACTTCAATCTTTTCAGGATACATGGTATAACGGTTTACCGATGGATGATAAGGTGAAATAAAATGAAAGGAGGAGAGTCAAAGATTCTTAAGAATTGGTTAACATATAACTGTTTGCACTTTGCTTAGGTCTCAGATATACTTATCCCAACCATCTTTACTGAATTATGGTTTCCAATCGGGTTGACCCAGAGTAATTACATATACTATAATTATGTTTATGTATTACCTTTAAAAATAGTTATATTGACAAATCCGCGTGTATTATTATACAGAGCTCATGAAGAAGTTGAACGAACTTTACGAAAAGGGCGGAAATCGGGTTGTGGGCAACAATGCAACTGAACTTTACACTGCAAGAAAGAGTTTATTCTGGTTAAGTCCATCATACGAACAAGATGTTGTTCGTATTGATCCCTTCTATTTTGAATGGAATCCAATCGGTACTCCTGAAGAATTTTTCAACCAATATTGGACGTTATTTAAGGACGATGAGTTTCGTTGTCATTGGGGCAAGTATGTTCCAGACGATTATTGGAAGAACGTGCCAAAATTATATACCAAGTATGACGAATGGATGAGTGTCAGGGCCGAGATGGATCCCAAACAAGTAAATATACATTTATGCTAATAAATTTGTTATTCCATGTCCAAAATTGAATTTGGATACTTGTTAACTTTTTTTGTAACTCCAATTACGTATTAGATATTCGTTACTCCCTATTGGAGAAAACTTTTGACAATCCCCCAACCATGAAATAGCATCGCAGATTTTTTATCATTGAACAAATATTCGAAATTGAATTAATTTTAGGTCAAAAGGCAGACTCTCATCATTTGTTGTTTTTTAAGTTTTATTTCTACTAGCTCATGTATTTCAAATTGTATGTACATGTATAACCCTTGACGAAAATGTAATTCTATTAAGATTAAATGGAGCAATTAATTTATTGGATTGAATCGATCAACTATAACTAAACATACTCAACTATAATCAACCAATTAGCATAGCTATATTACATAACTAAGGCTTCATCAAGCAATGCCAGAGAAAAATTTCCCGGGCACCATTTAAATCCCTATTAATCCAAATCCCACATGCGTCGCACCTAAATTCTTTATTTCTATCCAAATTCCTCTTAATGTATCCACAATAACTGCACGTTTTGCTTGTATATGCTTCTGACACTGACGTTATAACAATCTTACCAAAGTCTTCCATCTTTCTTGTCAGCTTCGTGACATTTGTGTGATATCAAAAGTACGAGCCAACCACAACGCAGTTTTTTTGCGTACTTCATCCACTAAATTTTGGATGCATTTTCTTAAGCTCGTTTTATAGAGTTGCGCTTCTTTGCTGGTGCTCTAGTGATGCGTGAAATAAGTGCATCCAGAGAAGGACAGAGGCGTATAATACGATTAATATAATTGTCGTCAAGATTGCTATAGCCGACTGTGGGTAAATACCATGTGAGAAAAGATCGAACACCAGGATCAATGGCTGCAACATGAATTTTTCCGCTTGATTCTCACAGATAGACTTTCTATACATCCATACAAATATTCAATATCCTAATTTTCTCTCATATATTAATTTCGAGTCCATTGTAACTTTTCAAGTATCATTCGGTCAGCAATGATTGTGTTTTCGAAATTCATGATGTAATGGTGGCTTTGCAAAACCTTAGTAACGTGGATAATCCGGATCACTAGTAAGAACCTTATTATGTTCATATAATAGCATTAGGTAAAAACGAAATGGTTCATGGCAGTACTGGGCACGAATAGTAATAGTTTGGCGGTCATCCTATCTAGAGACAAATGAAGTAGTGATCAATACTATGAAAAATTGAATTGGGCGGAAAAATTAAAACATTTAATGATTTTGCTTTCATTGTCGAATTTGGACTTACTAGTCTAACTAAATTAAATAAATTTAATCAAGAAATTCGCAGAGTACTTCCTTATATTATTAGTCTATAGGTTAAATGGAAAGCCATACATTCAAGGTACAGATATTTATAGGTTTGGGATGGTTGTATACGAGATTCTAACAGACGAACGAACATTCGGTGAGCTGAGTCATGATGAATATCTTGTGTATACTATCTATAAAAGAATACGACTTAAGATACCAAATAATATTCCCGGATAGTGTAAATTTATCATTGAAAATTGTTGAGATCCTATTCCAAAAAACAGACTAACGGCCGAGGAACCTAAAACTTTCTCTACTCTATCAACTTTCCAGAAGACAACAATAAATGCATATTCAATACAACAATTTTTTTAGAATATTCTAAAATATCCGAGTGTTTCAAGATGGATTTGATGAGGAGATAGAATTGCAAAAAGTATTCCTACAAATATGAATAAAAACAAAACCACTACAAAAATGCAAACCTTTACTACAAAATCAATATCAATTCCAAATACAGTGGGTCATCATAAAGATTCGGCCACTTACAACCATTAAATTTGACAACTCAAAAACAGGATTGTAAGCGAATAATAAATAAAAATAAAGTTTAAATATTAGTCTCTAAGTTTTATGGTGCATAACATCTAAAGTTATCAAATGTTTGTATTTTATAAAATGTATAAACTTCTTTATTAAGAAGTCAATACAAAATTTAATCCGTGAATATGATAGAATAGACCCTTTCTGAGCATATCCACGGGTTAAATTTGTATTTATTTCTTAGTAAAGAAGTTTATCCATTTTATATACAAATGTTTGATGATTAATATTAATGCTTTGTATGATATCCATTTGCAGTAATAACCGTGGCAATTCGAGCTTTCGATAGTATTCGAGTGCAAGATCTTTCCAGGTCATTTTCACGTATTGTTTGAATTCTGTGAGAATAGACTGTGCAGGGATCGTCGGCGAACAGCGTCTTTCACTCCATGCCATAAATTTTCTATGGGGTTCAAATCGGGACTTTGTGGAGGCTAAACTAACGTCATGATTCTAGAAGCTTCGCGAGCAGCTGTTACAACCTTTGACATATGTAGTGTTGCATCGCCCTCCTGAAAATACCATCACCACATGTGTAGGGTAGGATCATTTTCTATTTTGAGTATTAAAACTAAAAAATAGTTACCACAAAATGCAAAAATAATCCTAGCCGGACCTTTTGATGACCACTGTAATACAGGTACTTTCTATTTTGAAATATAAATCAATCACATTGATATTTCACATTAATTAAACATTATTGATTATCTTTTTAGTCTAAAACATGATTCTGAAGGTAACTGTAATCATTGGATCGATATTAGCCGTGTTTCAAGTTAAAGCACAACAACTAAAGGTGGTTACTATTCGTTTATCAACTTCTTTGTGTCTACGTATATTTCTTATAATCCATTTCTTTACGTATACTTTTATAACATAAAAACAAGTTTCTACGTTCTTACTCTAGCGCATATGTATAGACTAATTAAATCAAAATTAGATCACGTTGATAATAAAATTACTATATGTATAGTTTTATAAATCTTATAGAAATTTTTATTATTACTATTAAATTGTAAAAAACCACTTCATAATAAAACTATACTTTTTATACTGCATTTTGGTACTTTTTTTATTGAAGCTTTTAAACTTTGTATATAAGATAAAGGGGATATTTTGGTGAATGGTGTATTGTTATGTTTTAATATTTTAAGAATTACCAATATATTTTAAAGTATAAATGTACAAGCCTTAAGCACATATTGACAATATTATTATATGTACCATATGTTATCTTTTTTATTTATGTTTTAAGCATGTTTTTGGCCACCACAATACCCCTTTAAATTATACACTGTATACGCTATTTTGATAATGATATCACTTTTCCTTGAAAAGCTATAAGCTTTTAAAATCTACATATACGTAATAAGTTTTACTGTTGATATTCATTTTGATTAGTTCATCTATGATTAAATGTCATTTCGTTTATTACATATGTTTATAAAATTGGGTTTACATCAAAGAAAGTTCTATGTAGTCGAACTATTAAGATTGCTTAAAAGAAGTGCTTTTATTATTTACACACACACAAATAGAAATTCTTTCTATGTCATAAAGGCGTTCTGTTTCATATAGAAGTTGATATTCACACACAATGACAGCAGGAAGTTTTGAAAAGTGTAAATTAATGCGTGCACATTAGTGTTAGAAAATTCTCCCTGAATGCACCATTTATAAGTGCACACCCTCTCTAAATGCACAGTATAGCTGGGTCCGAGCTTATAAGAGCTCTATGTTTTGCCCTCTATAATGCACACCCTCTTTAAATGCACGCTTTACTATGGTCCCAAGGGGGGTGCATTTAGGGAGGTTTAAAAATCATTTCATATCATTTTTGACGAGATCAGATTTAATGTCAAGAATCAATGATTAATGTTAAGTGCTGGGACGATTATCCGCAAAGATAGTTTACTATTTTTAGATACGACAAGAATACAATACGTGATTGCTAAAAGAAACATACGAATGGACGCGCGTAGAAACAAAAAAAAAAGCAAGCTGGATTTAACCTGGAACATAGTCGGTCAACAAATATTATTGGTGCTGAGACAATAATGTCAGAATTGACTTTATAATTTTCGTAAATCTCTAATAATTCAATACAAATTTATTTCTCCGTCGAATGAACTAAACCCAAATCAGCTAGGTACATGTATTACGAACATCTTAACTATTTTTGTTAATGAGCGCCCATTTATTGATTTATTGACAATACGTAACTGAACAGTATCGCTATCACATCACACTGTAATTACGTAAAAAAAAATATGGATTATATCAATAGTATTATTCACCAAGAAAATAAAAATGGTACAAATTTAGGAGTATGGCCGCTTACTAGTTCAGTTGATTGGTGTGAATCAAATTATGCGATTTCGCCATATATTGCAGAGTACGTCTCGAATACTTGCATTCTGAAACATATTTAATTAAATAATTTTTATTTTTGTTTAGATTTTGGAATTCAATTTCGAGTATTGCAATGATATTAATCGGTGAAATCGGATCCAGATTAAATTCATGCGAAAGAACTCCATTGTATATCGCTTTTCGGTTGATTTCTTTGGTGGGAGTTGGAAGTTTTTTGTTTCATGCTACATTAACATATTATATGCAAGCTCTTGATGAGGTAAAATATTGATTATTTATATTTTTGTAAAGCTTATATTTTTTCTGTTTGCATGGATTCATCCATTATTTATTGATTTAGGTACCAATGGTCTGGTGTGCACTAACATTATTACGTCCGCTTTTTGAAATTAATTATGGACGCCAAGGACCATGGCTCACCGCCATGCTTACAAGTGTCGCAATCACATTAAGCCTCCTCGTGACAATTGTAAGAGGAGGAGCGCAATTCGTCGCATTTCAAATTTCATTCAGCTTTCTCGAAGCCTTCACCATCTACCTAATGACCAGAATTTATAATCGCATGAAATCAAACCACCCAGCAATTAAAACGCTTTTTCGACGTGGTCTCACCACTTATCTATTCGCGATTTTGATCTGGCTCACAGATTTACAATTTTGCGAGTATTTGAATGGTGGTGAAAGATCATTGTTGCCGTTTAATCCACAATTGCATGCTGCGTGGCATGCTTTGGCAAGTTTTGGTTTGTATTTGTTGGTGGTGTTTACTGTTTACGCTTGGTGGGCTTGGAAAGGGGAAAATGTTAAATTGGAGATGGGTTTAAGCGGGTTATTACCTTTTGTCGTAAAGATTCATCAAAATGACCAGGATCAATCGGCAAATAGTAAATTGGTTAAGACTGAATGAAATTTCGAAATTTACATAGTGGTATTTTTTTTTTAATTTCACTTAATTGTTCAATTTCGCAGTTTAATTATTTTTAATCCATCTTCTAAATTTTATGAATTAATTGGCAATCTACAAATGAAAGAGAATCATATAGCATAAAAATTGTTTTTTCTTAATAATATCAAATAAACGATTCATATATATATATATATATATCGTATACATATTTGAAGTTGGGACAAGTGTCAAAAATATTCTTTAAAATTATGCAATTTTTTTATATTTTGGTACTTTGAGATTTATTTCAAAAGTTTTATATAATTCTTACAAAAATACATTAGTTTAAAATTTGAGTTTTCTTGTTTACAATTCTTAGAGCAAAACATGTGGGGGCAAATTTGCTAATTGACAATCAAATTTGTATCTTTATACATGAACTTGTAAAATTTATATTGACTAAGTAAAAAGCTTAATTAAATCTCAAAGTTTTTTTGATAATATTTTGGTTAAAAATTGAGACTTTACTTCATCGAAAATGTAAATTTGGGTTTAATTCTTCATTCATGGAATGTCAGTCAACAACTTAATTAATATTAGCCGTTAATAATTACATTTGAGCGTGTTGTAATGTCACAATTTAGAAAATGGACTTTAAAAATACCCATATAATTGGTGCGCAATATGTTTACTAGTTTATCAAAATTTGTTTCTCTTTACCGATACAGAGTGATTCGTAACCGAAACTGCGTTAAATCAGGTTTGTCGATTGTGAAAGAATTTCAATTATAACTTTTGTATAATTAATTAATATATCTCAATTAACCGGGGGGGATTATTTGAAAAAATCATATATATAAAATTCCGATTCTAATTAATTTTTTTTAGTATGTTATGGTTCTAATGCTTGCAAAATTCATTTAATTTTTATATGATTCTCTTGTCAGGTGCTCTGGTATAATCATTGTTCTAAAATAACACTATATTTCTTGATAAGAATCAAAAAATAATCTCGAAGCTTTTTACTAAAATTTGTGTATGGTGTTTTTATTTTCTTAATCTTTGTTTTATATTGATCTATTTCACCTTATTATCGATAGGAATATATCAATCAAATTAATATCAAATCTCTCGAGTGAGTGTCTGTAACTGTAGTACATTTAGATTAAATGTATACGTATTATACAGTTGACCTTCGTTAAGCCGGAGGCAATAAAACGAAGTAAATTTATCTGTTTTATTGAGATATGTCGTTAAGGCTTATTTGCATTCAGGTTTTTTTAATTTAGGAGCTTTAGCTGAAGGATCAATACAAGTGACTCTTGTTATAATAAAGGCATCCGGATTATTATTAAAAATTTTTCCAAATTTTGCTATATCGAAAGTTTATTAGTAAATTTACTATAATGAGAGGATTTAATATAGACTGTTTTGGACTGTACTTTAATGTATCAAAATTTTAATTAGTTTTTGCTATAACAAGAGTTTACTATAACGAGAAGTCACTTGTACCGATAAATGGTGTATTGTCTTCTTGATGGAATCGGAACAAAAAGAATGTTTTTGAGCCAAAAAAATACTAAAATTGTAGATACTATAGGGAATTGGTACCAAGCTGTATTTTAATGCTATGAGAAACAAGCACACGCAGACAATCTTTCTGGAGAACTTCGTCGTAGTGTACGTTAACGAAGAAAGAACTTAACACTTATATTTTAAACTTCTTTACTACAAAGGAAATACAAAAATTTAATCCGTGAATATGATAGAATAGACCCTTTCACAGATTAAATTTGTATTTACTTCTTAGTAAAGAAGCTTATACATTTTATAAATACAAATGTTAGACGTTAAGCACCATAGTAAAAAGGTTATTGAATTTATAAAATACAATTTATTGATAAGTTTAGATGTTATGCACTCTATTAGCATTAAGTATAAAGAAAATCTATCATAAGTTATTAATATATTGAAGGTAGGGTTCTGTCTGTGATCTGACGTTTTCGTCATTTTTAACTATACGTATTGCGCTGTTACACATTTGAGTTAAGCAATACAATTCACTCTCATTATAGAGGTAATGAAAATAAGCTTCACTACAGCTTATAACGAAATTTATTAATAGTTCTAAAAAAACTCTTCAATGTATCAAGAGGTTCACTATATCGAGAGTTCGTTATAACAAGAGTTGTACACAATATAACTTTTTGTAATTCTGCGATGCTTTGTCGTTGAGAATGGACAAATTTTATATGTCAGATAAATTATATATACAGCTGAACCTCGTTACAATAAACTTTTGGAAAAGCATATGAAAATTTTTGGAAAAATTTCTATAACGAGAGTTTTTAATTATATGATTATATGTTTTGAGAATTTATATAAAGAAATTTTAATTATACTTTATTATAACGAACGTCATTATAACGAGATTTAACTGTAGATCGGACTAACTTAATTCTTGCCGAGTTCTAAAATTTAGACTGGTTTGCTTCATGGATATTAAGCAAAATCCGATTTATATCAGAATAAAGATTTTTAATTATGAATATAAATCATACATGTATAAAAATAATATGCAAATTTAAAGACTTTTTGTAGTGACACTGTATATACATATACACACCATATTAAATTTTAATAGTGATCCGCATCCTTATGTTTTTCTTCTAAAGAAAGAAGTGCTTTCTCAAAAAATTCGATAGAATAAAGATTTCTAATATAAATTCCTTTTCTAAATATATAATAGAAATTAATTCATATGTTTATAATGTGTTCAAAACTAACTTTAAGCTTTTATTTCATAAACTTCAAATAAATCAGAATGCACAAAGATCTTCTCTTAAATTATATTATGTAAACGTTCTATCATCACTTTATTTTATTAAGTATATAATGCCATTTGATATTATTTGTTTTAAAAATAAAACTAGTCTAGAAATATTTTGACTGGAAATCTGCTAGAACAGTATATAAGCTAGTATACATGCTATTCTATTTATTGTAAATAACGTGAAATTTATTTAGTTATCGTTAATACATGTAATAATTTATAATGCTAAAATAATCGTGTCTGCTATAATTGTATTCATGTGTTCGATCACGTGTCCGTATGTGAGAAAATTTTATTGAATAACAAGCGTATTTGTTAATATCTAGCAAAATTTTACAATTTGAAATTAAAGATATAAATAAATACATTTTTTACGCGTAATGTTTTTTTTCGATATAGTAATTTACGATTTCAGCAAACAATCTTGAATGTAATTATTTAAATCCTTCTCATTGTTGTTAATCTAAGCTTCATTTTATATTTGCTTAGCTTACATAAAGTATCTTCACTTTTTATAAATTGTCCCACCTTTCTGCAAACGTTTGGATGCAAAAATCCTTTTCACTTCTTTCTAAATCAATTTCTCATCAGCTGATATACAATCAACGTCATGTCAATGGTAGCTTGGCAATGTGATTTAAACAATTCTCTTGCATAATAATATTGTACTTTAGAATGAATTCATTTATTTCATTTTTTCCATTTTTCCTAATTGTCGTTTCTGTATCGGCTGCTTTTTGTATTCTTTGTCGCAAAGTTTATCAACTTTTTATCAACTTCCGAGTCCAGTATGCAAACGCCCAATACCATATCACTGGCTTCTTTTTTCTCGAACCAATATTTATTTCAATCAGATAAAGCTCACATCAATTGATAAAGTCGTACTTGACATACGGAATTGTGATCAATATAGATACATGTATTTCATCACAATATGAAATGAATGAATTAAATGTCACCTAATTCTTGTAACCAAGCTTTAAATTTGCCAAGACCATTGTTGCATTAGAAATGAAAATCTCAAAGATTCATTATTGTTCTTAGCTGAATAGACATCAATCTTAATTTTCTTGCAAATTACAATTATCTAACATTCATTTGTCGTTATAATCTTCAAAAAAATTATTTTTGTTATGATTTTCAAAGAAAGCATTTCATTTTCGTTATGATCTTCAAAGAATTTTTTGTTACCTTTCAAAGAAACAGGTTGATATAAATTGTTACTGTTGATCATTATTGTTAAAAAATACAAAAGTCTCACGAAGATTCCCCAACGCCATCTCCTCCAGGCTCTTGCGTAGCGTGAAGGTGGGTTGCACAGAGCCCATGAACCAGCAGTGGGATGCGTTCCGACTATGATTATCATATTGCGAATTTGATATTTATATCAAAAATAGGAATGCTTGGATTTCACTTGTTAAAAATTGTGGGTTTGAAGAGAATTATGGATTTCATTTGATTGGCTAAAAATCTATCATTCTGACGAGAGATCGACTTGCACATGAATATATACGTAATTTATCGTCATCGTTATCGGTATATCATTTACTTCTAACGCCAAGTTTTTAAATAAGATGGGACGGAAGCTAAAATCATGTTTGTAGTAAATGCACCCAATATCGATACAATCATTACTGCGATGAATATTCAAAGAAAAAAATTTATGTTTTTATTATCACAAACAAATTTATAAACCGAGTCTAACGTAAAGAGATCGGCAGTCTAAGGATTACGTAATTTGAATGAAAGATTTACCATTGTTAAATACTCGTAGAACAATTTATAACGATAAGGCATTTTTTCACAAATACGAGATCATGAATTGAATGATTCTAGAAGCAAAAAGCATCTTTAAAAATTTTTCATAGATTCTGCTCTAAAATGTTTTAATTATGAAATAACTAAGTACCCTACTACAAATGAATATTCAATAACGATGAATTAATTATACAAGTACATAAAATCGTGACTTTCACATTGAAAATACACTAATAAATTAAGGTGCTTATGTTTTCTACAGATATAGAAAAATCTGATCGAGAATTTCTGGAGTACTTCCGTATATTCGCCCAGAGGTACTAAATGGAAAGCTATACACTAAGCTGCAAATATTTATAGCTTTGGGATGATTGCGTACAAGATTGTCACAGGTGAACGACCATTTGGTGAACGTAGTCATGAAATACAT